TTTGCATTTACTCGCTTATTTTTATTGATAGGTGTCTCATAAGTATCCCTACTGTTGCTATTCATGCTGTTTGTGGTAGCGCCATCATCAAAATCTTCGTCCTCATCATCATTATCTTCTGCTGAAGATTCATCATCTTCCTCTTCCTCTTCGTCATCATCATCATCTTGTTCGTAATCACGATCAATATCCTTGCTATTATAAACTTTACGCTTGACCACAAAATCTTCATCATCATCATTGGCTTCCTGTTCCGAACTGTTGCCACTATCTGTGGTCTGTTGTTTCTCCTCATAATGATCATCGTATTTAGAAGACTTCAAGCGTTGTTGTTGCTGCTGCTTTTTGCCGCTAGCAGCATTAACATCACTACTCTTATTGGAATAGTTGCTTAAAGATGTTGTTGTCGTTTTCTGCTTTTGTTGCAAATATTTACATTTTGATATCATTAGATTTTGGGCCTTAACATCATTGTGGCAATAGCCCTTATCGTGTAAGTTTTCCAAAACATTTATGATGTGTATGGCCAGCGTTAATACCGATTTCTGGTGAACTCGACATTTTTTTATTAACGAATGCAGATCACGATCAAAGCGTGGTAAGACCAAAAAACGATATCGTGCATTGCCAAAATAATGCGAACCGGAAGCTATATAATCCGGTATACCCGAAGGTTCTCCCTTAGGTATATTATTACAAGCAGCTGCAGTTTCTTCATGCTTTTCGGTTGCAGTATTTTCTTCATTTTTAATAGTGCCTAAAAATCAGAAGTTGTTCATGTAAAGATGAGATTGTTATTTGTAATTTTTTTTTTGTTTTATACTTACAATTCTTTTTGGCAGTGTTCATAAGACAATGTATTTCAACAAACAGAGGCCCATTCGAATGTGGCTCAATTTTAACAACGAACTTGGCATTTTCGTTTGTAACCGGAATGCTGATGTTATCAGATGCTAAAAATATTTCACCAAAATTACCTTTGCCTGGAACAAAACAAAGAATAAATGAATGAAATATACAACAATAAATAAATTTAAATATTGATTAATTGCAAAAAATAAACACGCGAAATAAGAAATAACAATGAAGAAAGTTTAGTTAGCTAAGCTTGGCTATAAGATACCCTACAATTTTCGAATTTAAATCTCGACGTACAAAATCTATATATCTATCTACATATCTATCTAGCTATCTATTTATCTATCTATCTATCTATCTATCTATCTATCTATCTATCTATCTATCTATCTATCTATCTATCTATCTATCTATCTATCTATCTATCAATCTATCTATCTATCTATCTATCTATCTATCTATCTATCTATCTATCTATCTATCTATCTATCTATCTATCTATCTATCTATCTATCTATCTATCTATCTATCTATCTATCTATCTATCTATCTGTCTATCTATCTATCTATCTATCTATCTATCTATCTATCTATCTATCTATCTATCTATCTATCTATCTATCTATCTATCTATCTATCTATCTATCTATATATCTATCTATCTATCTATCTATCTATCTATCTATCTATCTATCTATCTATCTATCTATCTATCTATCTATCTATCTATCTATCTATCTATCTATCTATTTATCTATATATCTTATATCTATCTATCTATCTATCTATCTATCTATCTATCTATCTATCTATCTATCTATCTATCTATCTATCTATCTATCCATCTATTATTACTTACCAATTGGTCGCCCTAAACGCCATGGTTTCTGCGCCAAATCATACAAAACCGTACCATTGACCACCGAAGGTCTCAGCGTATAAACAGGTTTGGGTGATTCAGTTACTGTTGAATTATTATCATTTTGCATAAGGCTTACATTTAAGGAGTTATTTAAGAGTATGGAGGAATTATTTGCTTGTTTACTAGATGTATTACGTGGTGTTGTCGCCAAACCCACTGGTGGACCATCATTCGATGAGGAATCTTCGTCATCATTTTCATGCCAATAGCTATTACTAGTGTGGGAAGCAGCAGTATTCATGCGTAAATTTTTGCCATTTGTTAGATTGGAATTACATTTACGTTTGCGTATATTACGTTGACCGGTTGTGACTGGTGTAACATGTTGTTGATGATGATGATTGTTGTTATCATGACTTTCAATAACCCGCTTACCCATTTTGCCGCCGGTGCGTTAGGGTTTTGTTTGGGTTATGCCAAATTTCCACTTATTTTAAATTGGCTGCCAAAGTTATGGGCCGATAAGTGTTATATGGTAGTGGTTGGTTGAAGTTAAAACATTAGAATATTTTGTTTATATTTTGTAGGTGCTGCAATGAGTAATTTCATCAGATTATTAAAATGTTTGGTTTCTTTTTTTCTGTTTGATTTTTTCCAAGCAATCAGTCTCTTTAAAAATATTTTGTTTTTTTTTTTTTTTTTAATTTTTGTTTATAAAAAAAACAGGAACGTAGTTATTGTTTAATTTTTTAACTATTAATAATAAATGACTGTAATTTTTTTCATTTTTATTTTTTCATTTGTTCTATTTTGCCTCCCTTCTCCTGTTGTTGTTTAATTTGTCAAACTCTTGCGTACAAAGTTGCCTTTTTAGTAGTATTTTCTGATTTATTTTTTTTTTTCAGTACTTATGTAGTTATGTTGTAGTTGTTTTGTATTTTTATCTGGGTATCGTTTCCTCAGTTTCTCTGGCTTGTTGTTGTTAGTTTTTATTAAGGTTTATTTTGGCTGCTTGCATTCAAAATATACATAACGTTGATTGTTTTTTTGTTTATAGTTATTGAAGTTGTTGTTGGGGTTTTATATGTTTTTGTAAAAATTGACTGTTGAGGATATTTGTTGTTGTTTTTTTTTCATTATCCCATGTTTAGTTGTTGTTTAAGGTTGAAAAGTGTGAAATAGATGAAAACACATGAAAAGAAAATATAAATACATAAAACAGAAATTAGTTAAACGGTTTATATTTAAAACTTTGTTTTAATACTTTTTTTAAGACACACATGGTTGTAGTTGTAATTTTAACAGAAAATATTTGAGATTTAAAATAAATTTATATTTTCAATTAATTTAGTAGTATTAAAATAATTATTATAAAGTGAAATTAACTAAATTCACAGGAAATTAAAAACTAACAAATATTTCAAGTTCAAGGTTATAAAAAGTAGGTCAATGGTTTTAACATTTTAAATTTGGTATAGGTAGTTAAAGTTAAATTAATAATTAAAATTTATCATAAACAAACATTTTAATGAAATTGAGTTATTACTTTTCTTTGCTTTTTATAAAAAAGAAAAAATACTCCCTTAAATGACACCCCATAAGAACCGATTAAATTTTTAGTTTAATTCCATTTGTTTCAGTTTTCTTTTACATTCTACAACAACATATGAAAATAAGGAAAATATTTAAAGAAAAAAATAAAAAAAACTGTCACACTTTTAACTTTCTAAAACTGATTAAACAATATATTTTTTCCACAAACTTTATACGTACAGATAATTATTTTGGGGTAATTTTTAACAAAGAAAAACTCACAAAAATGTACAATAAAAAATCGTTTTTTTTATACCAAAAATTGGTCTCAAACACATAAAATTATTTAAATAAAAGTAAGGGAATTAACACAGACAGCTCAAAAACAAATTAAAATAAAAAACACAAAAAGGGGGAGCGAGGAATAATGGTCACAAAACATTGCCGACAATACCGCTTTTATAGATGACGAAAAAAAAAAAAAACATAAAATGTGAAAAATCAAACAAAAGGGAACAACAAAAACACACATGAAGAAACTGAACGAACAAGAAAATAAAAAAAATAATAACTGCTCTGCCACGACAACCAAGTCTGTCTCGGCAGCGCCATCAGACCCGACACATATAATTACACACCGAAAAATATATGTACGAATATTTTCTTTAGCAAAATTTAATAATATTTTCACAAATTTCTTGTTTTTTATAACATTTTATTAACTATTTAAATACCCCGTTTTATATATTAATTATACTTTGCTGCTGCTAAAAAAAAACACACAGTCGTTAATATATATTTTATTTCAAATTATCTTTTCATAATAATTTTCTGTTTCATTTCCAACATGAACATTTTTCCTATCTATATTTTTTCTTCTTTCCTCTTCTTTTTTTTTCAATGAAAAAATTTTAGCCACATTTCACTTTTAATTAAAACGCTTTAAAATGTTATTAATTCTATAAATTTTTATTTCAAACGTATTCACATGTCTTAATTTATATAATTCACATATTTTTATAAATATTTTCCTTAATTTTACCATTAAAAACTTACAAAAACTAGAGCCTCTTAATGGGGCTTTATTTTTTTCTTCTATCACACACGACTTTTCATACACACAAACATACGCACACGAAAAAACTTCAACTGACAATTGAAACAAAGTGAAAAGAAACGAAAGAATTGATGGAAATTTCTATTTCAGTTTGTTTGGCAATGTTGCCACCCCTCTGATAAGCACAAATTTATTTTGTTTTGTATTATTAAAAGTGAAATATTTTCTGTAATAATAATTATTTTGAATATTATTTTACAAAATATTTTAATTTTACATAAAATAAAATTGGCATATTTAATAGTTAATGTTCACTTTTAATTGTTTGTAAACAAGCAAAACAATAGAAACAAAATGGAATGAATAAATGTGTTATGTTATTGTGAATGTTTTCTTATTATGAATCTGTGTTTAGTAAGCAATTTCAATTAACTCTTTGTGGACTGGTAATAAAATTATAAAAGCGGGAAACGTTTGAAATTTTAGGTTTAATTAACCAGTAATTTTAAATTAGTCTAATTATAACCGTTCTAAATTTTCATCAAAAATAGTTTAGAGAAATCAAAACCATATCGATTTTTATATATGAAAAATTTCTATAAAAAAGCATTTTCATCGAATTTTTTCTATATATAAAAGCATAATTTTATCGAATTTCTTCTATAAAAAGATAATTACTTCATTTCTTAGGTTGATATAGACGCAGAACTCTTGAAAGTTCACCAGCAAAAAGCTATTCCCTTAATTTCGGACTATTTAAAGAAACGCGAAAACCCACTGCGGGTTGAAGTACTACAGGGTAGTGTTACGGATTCGGTGGAACAACTATACGATGTAGATGCGGTTATAGCGCTTGAACTGTAAGTAAATTTATGACTTTTTTTGATACTCTTTAAAACTGCTTTAAACCCATAAAGCATTGAACATTTACACCCAGAAGTTTTGGATAAAGTTCCCGAAAATATATTTGGTTTTATACAACCAAAGTTGGCCATATTCTCTACACCAAATTCGGAATACAATGTCCTCTTTGGACCAATGTTGGAGAATGGTTTCAGACATTATGATCATAAATTTGAATGGACACGTCAAGAGTTTCAGTCGTGGGCTCATGAAATATGTAAAATGTATACAAATTATAGTGTATCATTTATGGGTGTGGGTAAACCACCGCCTGAGGTGAAAAAAACTTGGCCATGCTACACAAATAGCAATTTTTGCACGCAACGATATGTTAGACAAACCCTTGAATTATGATATCGTACAAAAACCAGCAACAACCGAAACTCAATACAAAGTTATTTACTCGGTCGATTTTCCCTATAATAAAGATGAACGTCCGAAAGAACAGAAAATCCTAGACGAAGCCAATTTCTATGTAAATCAATCGAAAAATGTGCCAAAATATTTTAATCGTGAACGTTGCATTTATCAAGTACCCTGGAAAAATCTTATGGAGTATACGCAGAGTGTTGGTGGCACTGAAACTGAATTGCTGGAAATATTAGAGCGTAACAAATTTAAAATCGAAGATGATTTTATTATATTACCCGAATATGATGATGATGATGATGAGGAGAATGCTTCCGATGATCTCGATTATGATGGTGAATATAATTTGGAAGCTCAACCCTATAAGTGTAAACTTAATGAAGAAGAAGAGGATGAATTGTCTGCTAATTTAGCAAGTGGTTGTAATTTAATTGCGGGTAAGGTTAACTATGACTCAGAAGAAGATTGGGATTGAATTTTTATTATAAATTGAAAATGAATGTATAAAATTATTTTTCTTTTTTTTTGTTTGCATTATTTAAAAAAAGTGAAGAACGTGTTTCGTTTTGTTTTCTTAATGCATTTCTAAAATGAACTCATGTAATTAGTTTATCGTTAAAATTTTATATGAATGAAGAATAAATGCTTGTTTTTCTTAATGAAATTTGTTAGATTTATATAATTTTCAGAATGTGAGGAAATATTTGCAGCTTGTTTCTCTAACTCGAACAAATTTTCCACTTATTTTTGGCAGGAACATAGATAGATAGATAGATAGATGATAGATAGATAGATAGATATGATATAGATAGATAGATAGATAGATAGATAGATATCTCGCTAGCTCGCTCGCTCGCATAGCTCGCTAGATAGATCGATCGATCGATAGCTAGCTCGCTCGCTCGCTCGCTAGATAGCTCGCTAGCTCGCTCTCTCGCTCGCTCTCGCTCCTCGCTCTCTCGCTCGCTCGCTCGCTCGCTCGCTCGCTCGCTCTCTCGCCGTCCTTGCTCGCTCGCTCGCTCGCTCGCTCGCTCGCTCGCTCCTCGCTCGCTCGCTCTCTGCTCGCTCGCTCGCTCGCTCGCTCGCTCGCTCGCTCGCTCGCTCGCTCCTCGCTCGCTCGCTCGCTCGCGAGCTCGCTCGCTCGCTCGCTCGCCGCTCGCTCGCTCGCTCGCTCGGCTGTGCTCGCTGCTCGCCCGTCGCTTCGCTCGCTCGCTCGCTCGCTCGCTGCTCGCTGCTGCTCGCTCGCTCTCGCTCGCTCGCTCGCTGTCGCTCGCTCGCTGCTCGCTCGCTCGCTCCTCGCTCTATCCGCTCCTCGCTCGCTTCGCTCCTGCGCTCGCTCCGCTCTCCTCGCCGCTCTCTCGTCTCGCTCTCGCTCGCTCGCCTGCTCTCGCTCGCTCGCCTCGCTCGCTCGCTCGCTCGCTCGCTCCTCGCTCGCTGCTCGCTCCTCGCTCGCTCGTCCTCGAGCTCGCTCGCTCTCGCTCGTCCTCGCTCCTCCTCTCTCGCTCGCTCTCGCTCGCTCCTCGATCGCTTCGCTCGCTCCCTGCTCGCTCCTCGCTCGCTCGCTCGCTCGCTCGCTCGCTCGCTCGCTCGCTCGCTCGCTCGCTCGCTCGCTCGTCCTCGCTCGCTCGCTCGCTCGCTCGCTCGCTCGCTCGCTCGCTCGCTCGCTCGCTCGCTCGCTCGCTCGCTCGCTCGCTCGCTCGCTCGCTCGCTCGCTCGCTCTCCTGCTCTCTCGCTCGCTCGCTCGTCGTCTCGCTCGCTCGCTCGCTCGCTCGCTCGCTCGCTCGCTCGCTCGCTCGCTCGCTCGCTCGCTCGCTCGCTCGCTCGCTCGCTCGCTCCGCTCGCTCGCTCGCTCGCTCGCTCGCTCGCTCGCTCGCTCGCTCGCTCGTCCTCGCTCGCTCGCTCCTCGCTCGCTCGCTCGCTCGCTCGCTCGCTCGCTCGCTCGCTCGCTCGCTCCTCGCTCGCTCGCTCGCTCGCTCTCTCTCGCTCGCTCGCTCGCTCGCTCCTCGCTCGCTCGCTCGCTCGCTCGCTCCTGCTCGCTCCTCGCTGCTCGATAGATAGATAGATAGATAGATGATAGATAGATATATCGATAGATAGAAAACGAATGTAGGGTCGATTGTCTTGAAATTTTATCTCTTCCTCCTTACCTAATGAAAGTTCCATTTTTAAATTCTTACACATATGCACTGCATATACACAGGGTTAGCAGTTCCAAAAATTTAAGGAAATTGTTACAAAATTAACTTAATATTGTTCTCTTTTGCCAAAATAAATACAGTGTCTCTCATAATTATTCGAATTTGGGTAAACTATAAAAAGAAACCAAATTTAATAATATATTTTGTGTGCAAAATAAATAAATTAATTTGTTATATTGTCTAGATAGTCCTTATGTTTGATATCACGCTTTTTAAAACTTGAAAAATTTGCATTGATTTAAATTAATTGTGCTTTTTTAAAAAAAGTCCATGAAATTGCCTCACAAAAGTATACGAATTTTTCCTGTATTTCATATTTGATCATATTATACGCAACACAAATTTTAGAATCGAATGGTTTTTATGCGTAATATTGTTTTAAGGGGTTACTATCCACGGAAAGGATATATTTTTGGCCCATTTGGTCCACAATTTTGCGGAATTTGTACCCTCTTTTCATGTAATATCATTAAAATGGCGATTTTTGGCCATAATTGTAAATTTTTCTCCTTTTTTCCAGAGATAAAACAAAAATTTGATATTGGGACTTAAAAGACCCTTTGGGGTATCTAAAAATAATATCTTTTGTTACAAGAATCTGTATTTAAACGTTCCAAGATAAATTATTCGGATCATTCTTCTTTCGCTAATTCAATATATTGGAACTTAAGTCCATTTTTATAATACTAGGATCAACTATTTTCGGGGAAAGTTTTCTGGTATATATTCTTTTAGATATCAGCTTTTATACATTTTAAGTTTTCAATGTGTTGTGGAAGTGTACAACTCCAAAACATGCCTCGAAGAAACACCATTCAAAATAGTAAAATCATTATTTTTATATACCAATGGCCTCCATGCTGCATGGCACGATATCATTATGATCACATCAAAAATGTTGATATGTGTTTAAATATTATTTACTATGATCAAATTAAAACCAAAATTTAGGACTTACAGTGTTATTGTAACGGGCAACATAAGCGTGAAAGTTACGAGTAGTAAAAACTGAAATCTACTATATAGGATGACGTTTTGTTAAGGCATGTTTTGGGGTTGTATACCGCTATAATATATTGAAAATTTAAAATACATTAGTGCCAATATGTACATGAATATACACTAGACAACTTTGTCGAAAAATATCGTCCCTAGAGGTACGAAAAGGGACTTATGATCCAGATAATTCAATTAGAAACTGAAAAACGATACCAAAAATACATCTTGGAACGTTTAAGTACAGATCCTTATAACAAAAAATATTATTTTTAGATACCCTATGGGTTCTATTAAATTCCAATATTAAATTTTGGTTTTATTTCTGAAAAAAGGGTGAAAACATTACAAATATAGCCAAAAAAATCGCCATTTTAATGATATTACATGAAAAGAGGGTACAAATCCCCCAAAATTGTGGACCAAATGGGTCAAAAATATATCCATGCGGTTGATAGTTACCCCTTAAAACAATATTAAGCATAAAACCATGCGATTCTAGAATTTGTGTATCGTATAATATGATCAAATATGAAATACAGGAAAAATTCGTATACTTTTGTGAAGTAGTTTCATGGACTTTTTTTAAAAAAAGCACAACTAATTTAAGTAAATGTAAAGTTTTCAAGTTTTAAGGGGCGTGATATCAAATCTAAGGACTATCTAGACAATATAACAAATTAATTTATTTATTTTCCACACAAAATATATTATTAAATTTGGTTTTTTTCATAGTTTACCTAAATTCGAATACTTATGAGAGACACTGTATGTTAAAATTGATCCTCTTTAGGTTTGAGTTACAAATTCTAAGAAATTGTTAAACATGCAGCAATAAACTTTATTGCTAGCAGCCAAAGACAAGGGTTGAAAGTTAAATTTTTATTGTTTCTATCACATGATAAATGGACTCAACACTTAAAATTTATGATGATGGATTTAAGAGAATGTGCAAAAAAAAAGATTTGTTAAATTATCGCCGAAACTCACTGAAGGGGGAAGGAAGATGAAAACGAGTATACTATGTTGTATCAACAATGAAAAAATACATAAAAACATGTTTCTGTCTATTGTTTTGAATTTGTCAATGAATTTATGGGGTCTAAGGGAGGAAGTCGTATTAAGTATTATTTTTTGCAAATGTCTGTGCATGTGTGTACATTCATACTTCCGGCAATATAAACAAGTTAAAGAGTGATAATATGGGGTGTTCCATTGAATAGAAGGTTGTTAAGACTCTTTCAAAGTATTATTTAGAAATGTCACACATGTTTTAATTCTAAAGTTGATATTTTGGATAATTTTGTTTTAGTATCTTCAGATTTTGATCATTTTTTGGAATTTTAAGAAAATTTTTATATTTGAAATTTATGAAAATTTTCAAATTAGCAATATTTCATTGAAACACCCCTTTAGAATTTTGGCAGATTTGTGTAAAATTTTAAACCATCATGTGGGTGAAACTTGGCGCATGCGTTTCCCTTTTGCTCACAAGTGGTTTTCTATTTCAAAGAAAATAATAATAACAAATGACAAAAGGATACTACTACGACCAACGAGGGGAGTCAAGAAGCACTTTAGTTTCTAAGAAGTCATTAATGAGTTGCAAACCCAGAAGTAAATACAAGTTTTATAAACACTGTAGAAAAAAAAAAGTTATAAAAATACAAAAAGTCTAAAATAGAAAGAAAACAAATTAAAAAAAAGCAAATAAATTTTCATTAAATAAAAACAATATAGAAATTTGAAACTAAACTTTAAAATAAAATGGCTGATGATGGCGGCAATCCGGAAAAAGAAGCCGATAAGAAAATTATTCATGTTTATCCTTTAGTTAAGGTAAAATTTGTTAAAATCCTTAAGAAATCAAATTTAAATTTTTTTTATATTTTATAAAAAAATAGCACTCAGATATGAATGAGGAAATGCGCACCGAAGCTATAGAGTTAAGCATTACTGCCTGTGAGAAATATTCCTCCAATTATGAGGTCAGTTTTTTTTTTGTCTATAAAAAACAAAAAAAATATATATAATAACAGTTATTTATTTTGTTTTTAAAATCTAGCAAGCGGCCCGTGTTATTAAGGAAACTATGGATAAAAAATTTGGCATTTATTGGCATGTGGTAGTGGGTGAAGGTTTTGGTTTTGAAATAACTTATGAGACTAAAAATATTTTATATTTATTTTTTGCTGGCAATTTAGCTATATTATTATGGAAGTGCTCTTAGTCCCCTTTTTTTATACATAAAATTTTTAAAAACTCCTTTATTAAGAACATATTTTTTATAAAATTCCTTTTTTTTTTCTTAACAAATAAAACATATTAAATAATTAATATCATAGTTAGTAACTATCTTCTTAGTTTAAAGTTGTTATGGTAATAAGAAATATGCTGAATATTTTATCAATAAACTAGTTGTTTCTTAACTGTTCGCCGGATTAGAAATATACGCATAAATAAAAGACAGTAAATAACCTTGAAGTTAAGGAAACAAACTCTTTAACTATCGTACTCAAATAAAGGGTGTACTTTTCGGTAGTGTGTTGTTCTATAAAGGCATGCTCAGTCTTGTTTATAGTGTAATCTATGGTTTAGTCAGTTAGTCTATAGTATAATCGATAGTCTAGTCGATAATTTTATATATAGTCTAGTCTATTGTCTAATCTATAGTCTAGCCCATAGTCTAACCTACAGTCAAGCCTATACACTGGCCTATAGTCTAAACTATAGACTAGTCTATAGTCTAGCCTATAGACTAGTTTATAGTCTATTCTATAGTATAGTCTCGAGTCTATAGTTTGTATATAGTCTATAGTCAAATCTATAGTTTGTCTGTAATCTAACCTACAGTCAAGCCTATAGACTAGCCTATAGTCTAAACTATAGACTAGTCTATAGTCTAGCTTATAGACTAGTTTATAGTCTATTCTATAGTATAGTCTCGAGTCTATAGTTTTTATATAGTCTATAGTCAAGTCCATAGTTTGTCTGTAATCTAGTCTATAGTATATTATTTAGTTTAGTCTAAAGGCTATTCTACAGTCTTGTATATAGTCTAATCTATTGTTCAGTCTACAGTTTAGTCTATTGTTTAGTCTACAGTTTGTCTATGGTCTAGTCAGTTTATCTATGGATAGATAGTCTTGTATATATCCTTATCTATAGTCTAGTCTTTAGTGTAGTCTAGTCATCTTTAGTCTATAGTCGAGTCTATAGCTTGTCTACAGTTTAATCTATAGTATTTCTGTAGTCTAGTCTATCATCTAGTCTATTCTATAGTCTATAGTCCAGTCTATAGTCTAGTCTAAAGTATATTCTTTAGTTTACTTTACAATAGTGTAGTCTACAGTTTAGTCTATAATCAAGTCTATAGTTTAGTCAAGTCTACAGTTTGTCTATAGCCTAATCTATAGTCTAGTCGATGTCTAATCTGGTTAATTGTCTGTTTTGTAATCTAGTTTATAGTCTATTCTATAGTCAAGTCTATAGTCTATTCAATAGTATAATCTATAGCCCAGTCTATAGTCTAGTCTATGCTTTAGTTTATTCTAAAGTCTATTCCACATTATTGTCTAAAGTCTAGACTCTAGACTATAGTTTACTTTATATTCTAGTCTATAGTTTAGTCTATATTCTAGAATACAGTCTAGTTTAGTTATACAATTCCAGTCTATAGTCTAGTATATTCTTTAGTGTAGTCTTAAGTCTAGTCTATAGTCGAATCTATGGTTCAGTCTACAGTTTAGCCCTTATTTTAGACTATAGTCTAGTCTATAGTTTAGTCTATAGCCTAATTTATAGTCGAGTCAATAGTTTTAGTCTATAGTTTAGTCTATAGTCTAGTCTATAGTTTAGAGTTTGTATATAGCGTAGTCTATAATCTAGTCTATAGTATAGTCGAGTCTAGTGTAGTCAATAGTCTAGACTATATTCTAGTCTTTAGTATATTCTATGGTCTAGTCTATAGTCCAGTTTATAGTCTTATGTCTAGTATATTCTTTAGTGTAATCTTAAGTCTAGTCTATAATCGAATCTATAGTTCAGTCTGCACTTTAGCCCTTATTTTAGACTATAGTCTATAGTTTAGTCTATAGTCTAGTCTATAGTTTAGTCTAGAGTTTGTCTATTCAACATTCTTGTCTATTGTTTAGTATATAATCTAGTCTATAAAACTGCATAAGAAATATAGAAATCCCCAGTTACATTATATTGAAACTTCGATCGGTTTCGATTGGAAGAGGCGAATTAGCTCCTTAGAGATCGAAAATGTAATAGATTTTACTGCGCAATACTTCGAAAGCCAACAGCAAATTTTTCCTCCGATTCCCCACAAGTAAAAATTATAAAAAAAAAAGAAATCTTTAATAATAAACATTTTGCAAATTTATTGAATTAATATATTCAAAAGTCTTTGTTAAATTTTAAACCTCTTGACTAAAGGGTGTGGTAATATAAATTTCAAATTAAAATGATATTTATTATATTTTGTTTTGCAATTTTCTTTTAATTTATAATAAAAATAAACATTTTATAAACTAAAATTCTTAATTATAAATCTGTACTCACTAAAAGCTATGTATGTATATTCAGGATATAAAGACAGAAACTAAACATTTTAAGCATAAACATCTTCACGATCAGCTCCCGAACCATCACCACCATCCTCCAAGTTGGCGAATAGTAAAAAGTGAGAAGGACGATGAATTTCATGATAGAATTCTTTAGGATTTGCCAATTGCAAATCATATTTCATATTGGGATCATGTCGCACACCCATGAAATTATAATTCCAACTGCCCTGGGAGGGTACCATAAAGAAGCCCAAGAATTTATTGGACAGCAGCATTTGTACACGTTCATAGTGGGAGGGTAGATAACCCTTGGGATTATTACCTTTGTCGGTATTTTTAGAACCCCATTCAAAACCGGAGGGTGTTAATTTATAGGCTGTCAGCGAGCAGGAACCCGGTGTAAAGGAGCAAGTTATTATAATGGTTTTTTCACCATCCCAAGTGGAATTTTCTTGCATTACTTTCGCGTGAGTGGTAATGTCTTGCGGTGATAGTTGTGGCAATTCATTGGGTTGTGTATGAATCCAACCCAAAGGTTCCATATCCTTAAGGTATTGATGTGTTGGCAGGCTATTGGGTAGATTAATGGTTTGATGTGTACCCCATTGGGGAGGCATAACAATACAACGTATCTCTTTGACCTGAGGATTATCTGGAGGACTTACACCATATAAATAGCCAGCAATTTGAGCTCTTAAATCGGAGATGGTGACAAACTTCTTGAGTATATTTTTGGGCAATATATAGGTGTAGCCCGTTTCTTTAATGTCATCTGAGCTGACATAGATGTGATTTGTTCTTAGATGAAGATTAGTGGCCGATATGGCTCTGACACGCCATTCAGTTTTCGAGCTAAACGTTTGTGTTTCATAATTTGAGGTAGTGGAGGTAATGATTTCATCACCATGTTTGTTGGTAGTCCTAGTGGTGGTGGCTGTCAATTGATTTTGTTCTTTTGTTTGTTTTTCAATTTCTGCTATTTGCTGCCGTTGAGCCGAAGGAGCACTGATTTCCATACCCAAAATAATATCACGAATTTCCGATTGCGTGAGTGAGGCTACATTGACATTGTTCTTCTTACCATAATCGGCTAGAATCAAATCTTTCAGTTGCACTTCTACCTTAATCCATTCTTCATCCGTTAGCGTCGGCCATATGTGATGGGCCTCGGTAATGGTGGTCTTATCGGGTTTCAATATAATTTTCGTTCTTTCGGTATTTACATGTAAAGCTCTTAAAATCAATATCAAACGACTGAAGGCCGTGTAGGACGAAATAGTCTTGAGCCAATCATCGTATAGATTGAAAAGAACCATTTGTGGTTCTGTAGCCTTTAGAATCAAATCACCAAATTTCTCCACTTTCAAGCAAGCCTGGAATGGTAACTGCAGTTCGGAACCCTTAATAACAATATTAGGGAAATCCAATAAATGCACTTCCAAAGGATCCAACATACCCTTACGGGTAACAATAATCTGCTTAGGCTGTTCTTCCACCGGCAATGAACGAATAAGAGCAGCAACTTCTTCTGCTGTTTTCCATTTAGCCAATTGACCCAAACGTTTTTGACCCGCCCATACCGAAGTGTGAATAATCTTCAAAAACAGTTGGCCCGTACGAGGATTGAAAATGAAAATTGCTCCATTAATGGGTTTGGTAGTTAAATTACCCTCAAATGTCTTGTGTATGGTGACACGATAGACATTGGTATCGTCCACAAACCAAATAATCTGATTGGAGAACAATTCACCATAATTTTGAGAACTTAAATAGGGTTCGGTAGGCTCCGAAGAATACAATTGTAAAGCCTTACGTATACGTTCTCTTAAAACATAAAGAGCAGGATTAGCTTTCATTATCTTGGCCATGGCTTGTTGTATAAGGGTTTTGCAACCAGGGAACCAATTGCCATAGGCAGAATGCAAATTATAAGCCAAATCTATGGCTATGAGGACACCCGTAGGCGAGGGATAGATGGACATGTTGTCTGTGGTATAATCTAAGAATTTTGCTCTGGCATAACGTTCAACATCGTGGGAATCGTAATCACCCCAACGTAGCTGTATATCCAGCCAGTATTTCTGTGTGGTTGTATTGTCCATGGTGTCTTTAGTGTCGGCCAGCAACGAGGGTCTTGAAACATTCCATTTATAGGCGGGGAAAAGCAAAATATCTGCACAAGAAGAATTCATTTTATATGACTTACGCGGATGTATAGTTTCCTTTTGTACCGTTTCAATTTCCAAAGCATCTAACTCTTGATCGAAGACCTGACACAAATCCATAACAATAGATTCGTGTATTTTTTGCCATAAATGGGCTCTGAAAATCTGTATAAGGGAAATTTTCAAAGTGGGTATTTTACCGTGCATGAAAATACCCGTTAAATCCAATTGCACCTGGAAACCAACATAAACGTTGGCACGATTAATGGTGGGTGACCACCAGAGTGTAAAACGACGATTGGGAATTTGATTCAAACCGGAACGTTGGGCATTGGTCAATTTCTTGTATTTCATGGATTCTTCAAATCCAGAAGCCTTTTCCCAGAAAAGACCCTCCCAGGTGGGGAAATAGGTACCCTTAAAGAGTGTATGTTCCAAAATACCCTCTACACCTCCCAAGGCTTGGATCATATCTGTGCGATAGTTATTTAAATTCCATAATTTACCATCATGACGCTGGTGGGTCCACCAGAAGGGATTTTGTTTGAGCACCTGATATTGTTTGAACTCGGTGCGTATACGCCAGCCCTTGTCATAGGCTAAAGTATGACGATCTTTTTGGAAGAGTGTATTAATACGGGGTATACCACGATCCCAGGAATCTTCCAAGTCCTCTAGAGTTAAACGTCTATTCTGGGTACTGGCCTCTTGACGTTTCAGTGCATATTCAGCCCATACACGTTGCGAATCGATAAATTCACTCTCCCAAGGTTGTATGTAACGGTAGAGATTTGGAATCAATTGATCCTCATCATGGGACATACCTAAGGAAAAAAGAAAGAGAAGAAACGCATAAAATATTAAACATAAAGCCACTGTTTTTAGCAATCCAATTCAGAAGTAATTTAACATGATTTAAATGCTAAGGAATCGTTATGAAAGGTTATATCCATTTGGAAAACTTATCCACTTACCAGAACGGAAATGCGTAATGCCTACATCTGTTTGTTTAGACCATCTTAAATCGGATTGCGGTATCAAAACGTGACCCATACTCAACATGCCCAAACCACCCAATTCTTTGGGTGTATAAAACACCACCGGTGGAAAACGGGAAGGCATTTTAGAGTTCAAACCAATCTTAATACGGGTTTGTATCTTATTTTCACATTTAACCAAAAGATCTAAAAGTTCTTGGGTATTGACAACAGCCTCACGGAAATATGTCATTAAACCAATCAAAGCTGTATTCCATTTGTTAACAATCTGAAGAAGAAAAAGAAATGAAACTTATTATATGTACAATCATTAAATAAAAGCCAAAAGACTAGTCAAAAGACCAGTTAATTGATTAGTCAATTGACAATAAACTGCGCAAACTACTAGTCAATAGATTAGTTAACCAGTCAATAGATCATTTAAATACAATCCATAATTACCTTAGTGAAAGTAGTAGAACCAGAAGCCATTAAAATTTGTCTAACACGATTATGGAAACGACCCAAAGACTCATCATCTACACGCAAGAAACATTGGGCAGTACGTTCTTTAGTCACTTCATTTTGTAAATTCCAAACACCATCACGATGAGTAAATTCTTCATTTTGGGTGCGACACTAAATGAATATAAAGAAATAAGAAATAAATTACAAAACTGAACTTTTAAAATATGTTTAAAAAGTAAGAACCTTGGGTAAAATACGGCACTCAAAACCACACATGTTAAACAGAAGATTAGGATTATCCTTAGAGTAAACTGAAACAAAAGTATTTTCCCAATTAATGGTGGTAACGGAGCGGGGTAAACGATTTTTAATATCCCAGAAAACAGCACGGCCCCTAAAAGGAAAACACTTATTAAAAACTTTCAAAATATTTGAAAAAACCTAAAAAAACTTACAAATTAACATCGTGTTTCATTAAACGCATACGAGCATCACGTGGCCAACATTTTTTATTATTATAGCCCACAATATTTTCATTATTTGGATCGGGATGTTCGGTCAGATAACGTTGTATCAAATCTCTAGCTTCTTCGGCGCTAAATCTAAAGAACAAATGAACACGATCGACATAACGACAATACAAACGTATGGGATGAGCCGTCTCTGTGGGTGTATCTTGGAAAGTTAAGAAATCATTTGGCATTTGTGGTGGTCCAGCCATTTCACTTGCTCTGTGCAAACCAAGCACCAATAGATCTAATACTAAACCATAATATTGTGTAATAAACGAAGAGAACTGAAGACCTCGTATAATGCCATAACTGTTGGTATGATTCATATCCTTGTAATTGATGACTACATTGTTTTTGGCTGTCATATAATCGGCAATATTATGATCGACTATAAGACGCAATAGACGATTGAGTAGTGTTAAATCGATTTTCTCATAAAGTTTCTCGAAACGACTTTCCAGTAAGACATTGCATTCGCCTTCACTTACATCCCAGACATCTTGAAGATTGTTAATACCTAGAGGAAGAAGTGTTATATGATTGTAGTTAATTCGTAACAGGCAAGAGACAGTCAATAGACAAATCAATATACCAATCAATGAACAAGTCAATAGACTAGACAATAGATTATGAAATAGACTAGTCATGGACAAGTTAATATATTAGTCAAATTTTAAACGTTGTTTTCAATACCCCATCAGCGTGAGGTTTGCAACAAGGGGATTTCAAATACAAATCACCTTGCTTCAAATCACACGAAGATAAAGCATACTTTTACTCTAGGAACACACTTTAACAGCAATTAAAATATATTAATAAATCTCCTTACCTTGACACCATTTATAAGCCAATAGTGGTGGTGGTTCTGTATCGCTTGGCTTAATCCATGGTGGGAATAAACGTCTCTTATCGGCTTCATACCATAGATATTGATCTAAATAGGCATCGGTAATCTTTTCCAAAGGTTCTACATCATAGACAGGTATTAAATGACTATATAAATCCATAAATTCAATGCCAACTTCTTTGAAAGCTCTTTGCGTTAGTAAATGTCTTTTAATACGTGATAGAGCTTCATGTGGATTATCATAAGCTTGTTCGATTAGACCCAATTCTTCACGTTGACTTTGATTTAAACGTGATTTTACACTGTAGGCCTCTTTAAGACGTTCTAAGGCTAAAATTAAAAGTTTGGTATCGTGTTTGTACGATAAAGGAGGGAAGGGTATGGGACCAAATCTACGTGATTCTAACCAATGTACGGTGGTCGTATAGATGGCTACAGCTTCTTCGGGTGATATATAAGGACCATCCTTTAGGTAATTATGTTGACGTTCCTGTTCTGCCTTTAGATAGAGACGTGTTAGACGACCCAAATTCTTTTTACAAACAGTTTTATCGACAGTAGCACCACGACGTATACGTTCCCGATTATAATGAGCAGTATTAGTCCACCAATCAGCTTTCATTTTGACATATCTTAAAATCATATTCTCAATAGGTATGGGTAGACCAGGTACCTTCCAGGGAATATTGGCCTTCCAACAACGCCAAGCTTCGGATAAATGTTGAAGAATGGTTCTGGCCTTGTTTTGTTTAATACCCTCAGGCATCATATCGACAATATCATGCATAACAGAGGCACGCAATTCCAAATCGAAATGTGATTCTACACGCTGTTTGGTAACCGTTTTAGCAACGCCCTTTGAATGACGGCCCTCGAATTGACGGGACAATAAGTTACCCAACCAACGTTCCAATAGAGGAGTGATGCCACGCATAAAGAATAACCAAACACGCCAACCAGGAGCCCAGAAACCACAACCAGGACCTTTACCCACAGGACCCTGAAAATAAATAGAAAAACGAAAAGAAAAATATTCAAAACTTGAGTTTTACGTAATAAAATTGACCATTAAAATTACCGTATTGAAACGATAGTAAATTAAATGTTTTAAATCTTTGCACATGCGTATCTGTCTCATAAGTTTGTATTTGTAACGATACATGCCCGTTAATTGACCCACATGAGCAAATATATACTGTAGACCATCAGCCAGTTGAAAGGCATCGACATTATTCAAACGATATTGAACATGAGAGTCAATAATCAATTTCGTAAGACGTAGGATTTCACGACACAAATGGAAAGCTGAAAAAAGAAAGTCCTTAATTAAGAAGACAATACAATTATTTTGCCACTTTACTTACCGTTACCGAATCTGGACTTTTTACGTTCTTTGGTGGTTAAGGTCTTGACCGGTTTTAAATTGAAATTATAATCCAAATGAAGATAATTCAAATTTTTACGATGAATCAAAAGATTTAACATATTATAACCTTGACGACAGACCTGCAAGCCAGCTTCTACCCAATCGAGAGTAGTAGTTTGGAAGAATTTTGTAGATTTAAAGGAACGGAAGAGATATCTATAAAACAATATTTTATATTATTTATGCATTTAAATTCTCATTTTTAAAAAACCCACCTCTTACGTTGTGGTTTTGGTCGGCGATGTTTTAAAGCATTCAAAACATAATATTTCAATAGTTTCTGATAACTGACACGTACTTTTACGGGATGTCCAGGAGGACAATGTTCTTTATACCAACATTTTACCAAAGGTATATCAATAGCTCTTCTACAACGGCCAGATCTTAAGTTAAAAGGTCTTGGTGCCCATAACAAAGATATACCATTGGCGGTATTGTCTGTGTATAAGGGTGTATCTTGTAAAAATGGTTGTACTTCTTCGGGTAGAGAAAAATCTTCATCGTCATCGGGTAATGGTTCAGGTATTTTAGTGACATTAGCATGACGATGTGAAATGGGATTAATTAAAGGATCAAAATAAAAAGCTGGTAAATCAGGATCTTCTGTTTTGATATAGACAACGTTGGGTGTATGATACCTGTAAATGTAAAGTGGTCGTTTTTGAGTGTGATGGGTGATTTAATGAATGTTTAAGACTAAGTCGCGCATATACTTCATCAATTACAAAAGGATTTAAAAAAGTTCAGTTGTTGTTTAGTTCTAGTTCAGATATAGTTTAGTTCTAGTTCATTTCTAGTTCTGATCTAGTTTAGTTCTAGTTCAGTTCTAGTTCACTTCTAGTTCATTTCTAATACAGTTCTAGTTCAGTTCTAGTTTAGGTAAATCAGGATCTTCTGTTTTGATATAGACAACGTTGGGTGTATGATACCTGTAAATGTAAAGTGGTCGTTTTTGAGTGTGATGGGTGATTTAATGAATGTTTAAGACTAAGTCGCGCATATACTTCATCAATTACAAAAGGATTTAAAAAAGTTCAGTTGTTGTTTAGTTCTAGTTCAGATATAGTTTAGTTCTAGTTCATTTCTAGTTCTGATCTAGTTTAGTTCTAGTTCAGTTCTAGTTCACTTCTAGTTCATTTCTAATACAGTTCTAGTTCAGTTCTAGTTTAGTTCTAGTTCAGTTCTAGTTCAGTTCTAGGTTAGTTCTAGTTCAGTTCTAGTTCAGTTCCAGTTCAGATCTAGTTCAGTTCCAGTTCAGATCTAGTTCAGTTCTAGTTCAGTTCTAGTTCTAGTTCAGTTCTAGTTCTAGTTCAGTTCTAGTTCTAGTTCAGTTCTAGTTCTAGTTCAGTTCTAGTTTAGTTCTAGTTCAGTCTAGATAATTTCTGTTCTAGTTCAGTTCTAGTTCACTTCTAGTTCATTTCTAGTTCTGATCTAGTTTAGTTCTAGTTCAGTTCTAGTTCATTTCTAATACAGTTCTAGTTCAGTTCTAGTTTAGTTCTAGTTCAGTTCTAGTTCAGTTCTAGGTTAGTTCTAGTTCAGTTCTATTTCAGTTCTAGTTCAGTTCCAGTTCAGTTCTAGTTCAGTTCCAGTTCAGATCTAGTTCAGTTCTAGTTCAGTTCTAGTTCAGTTATAGGTTAGTTCTAGTTCAGTTCTATTTCAGTTCTAGTTCAGTTCCAGTTCAGATCTAGTTCAGTTCCAGTTCAGTACCGCAATTCTGTAATTTTTTAATTTTAACTACCGATATCGTAAGGTAACGACAAACATCGGTTGCATTAACGAATTTTTAATTTTGTAACTTTTTAACGAGCTTAGAATATTTTAACGACAAATGTCGGAAAAATATGAGAATATCAAAAGTTTTGTATTGAAATATTTTTAAAATATAAAATTATTAACGTGAACTTTTTATTTGTCGTTACATTGCCGATATTTTTCGTTAAATTAATGATTTTGTTTAACGAAAAAAATCGGTAAAATAAAATTCAGAATACCACATAACGACAATTATTGTTAACTTACGAATTTATACTATTTAACGACGAAATTTTGTAGTTAACAAGTTACTGAATTGCGGTACAGATCTAGTTCAGTTCTAGTTCAGTTTTAGTTCAGTTCTAGTTCAGTTCTAGTTCAGTTCTAGTTCAGTTCTAGTTCAGTTCTAGTTCAGTTCTAGTTCAGTTCTAGTTTAGTTCTAGTTCAGTTCTAGTTCAGTTCTAGTTCAGTTCTAGTTTAGTTCTAGTTCAGTCTAGATAATTTCTGTTCTAGTTCAGTTCCAGTTCAGATCTAGTTCAGTTCTAATTCAGTTCTAGTTCAGTTCTAGTTCAGTTCTAGTTCAGTTCTAGTTCAGTTCTAGTTCAGTTCTAGTTCAGTTCTAGTTCAGTTCTAGTTCAGTTCTAGTTCAGTTCTAGTTCAGTTCTAGTTCAGTTCTAGTTCAGTTATATTTCAGTTCTATTTCAGTTTTAGTTCCGTTCTAGTTAATTTCTAGTTCTCTTCTAAGTTCAGTTCTAGTACAGTTTTATTTCAGAACAAGTTCAGCAAGTAACTGTACTTGCACATATGTATGTGGTCTTCATCATATTTCTTTTTTACTTTTTATTGAGTTAGATCGAAGTTTAAGAGTTTTTTCAGTGTGATTTTTATACAATCAAATTACATTGTAAAAATGTTCGACTTGTTCAGCAGCATAAAATTAAGAACTTTTAAATAAAATGCTTGCATTAACAAATCACCTTTAAATGACGATGTTTTATAGATTTTTTTGATAAATTGTAGTAGTAATATTTCTTATAAGGTTTGTTTAATATTTCACTTTTATTCAATTAAAATCAAAATAAATCTTTAATATTTTAATTTCTTTTTAAGTGATTTTTTTATTTTAAAGAATAAATTTGATAACAAAAAACTTACCATGAAAGATGCACAAAATGTGGCATATTATTATAAAGATAGGGGAATGCGATCCTGTATTCTGTACGTATAGGTTGACGTATAATAACTTTATTAATGTCATTAAACTCATTCCAATCTTCATCGCTAAAAAACGATAAAGAAATAAACACAAAAATACAAACAATTAAATTAGAAATAAAAAAAAAGTTTGATAAAACTGTACACTTACCCCACATTATGATCTTTTATTAAAGGTTCAAATTTCGGTCCACCAGGTATAGCCATATTTAAGGCTTTAGCCGTAAAGAAACTTTTAGGATCGAAAAGATAAAAGAAATTATCATCTACCAAATCGGTAAGTAGTTGATTGGCCAAACGATATAGAGTAGCCAGTTGAGGTAGCGTCAAATTCCATTTGCGGTAAGTAGAACCATTAACATATGGAGTACCAACAAGAGGACGATGGTCATAAAACCATTTGTAGACAGAACCATCTTCATCTTGATCCAATTCGATTTGTATGGCTTCTAAAGGTTCAACATCCAATACATTGTCGGCATAGTCAAGGGGAGGTTCTTCATCATCGAAGGGAGGAAAACGCATACGTTTGAAATGACGACGATCACGTTTTTCACGACGCATCATAATCCACATGGTACCCCATTGGGCTATGTATACGGGTTCTATAACCCAAGGTATTTCATTGACAAAGGTGATGGCACCCGTTATATGATATAGTACCTGTACATCTCTTATTTGTTCCCAGGGCATGGGCATATTTTCCAAAAGTTTAAGTACAGCATGTGGCATGTATTTTAAAGCACCCAAGTAGACACGTTTATCGTGACGATATTTGCGCGATGTCATATCACCATGATCACGTATAATCTTACGAATATGTTCGGGAGGCATATCTTCTTTTTGGGCATCCACAAAGCCGAATTTACGTTTGTCAGCAAAACGTTTCGATTGCAATTGCTGCCATTTCATAGCCTTTTCCTGCAGCTTTTCCTCAGGTATATCTGGTTTGGGCGTAGGGATTTGTCCTAATTGAGCCTGTACCGCTTGTGGCGGCATACCCACTTGCTGGGGTGGTGGTGGCAGCGGTGCTCCAGGTGGTGGTATCTGCTGTATTTGATTAGCCATTTGATGGGCATGCATCTGTGCTTGTTGGGCCTGGGCTGCAGCAGCATAGGCTTGAGCCTGCTGCTGGGCCATAATTTGTGCCGCCCAAGCATTGGGCGGTATCATATATGGTGGTATAGACATTTTTCGCAAATCTCGCCACCTCTAATCATACAGTAGTCTGAAAAATTAGAAATTAGTTTACTTACATTTCTCAAACACTTTCTCGTAGAAGTCTCAAAATGCGATTTTTTTTATTTTCGGCGGCGTCGAGACACATACAATTTTTTTCTCTTCTTCTTTTGCCGACAAAGCATACTTTTCTTGAAAAATTTTCAACACAAATTTTGTGGGTAGAAAACTGTTTTCTATATAAAATTTTATACTCACATGATTAATTTTATTCTATATTATATTTTTTCAACAATTGTTTTATATTTTAAATGAAAATAATTCTTAAATTATAAAAAAATCACCAGCACAAAAAATGAAGAAAACGTTTTCCAAAAAAGCGAGGCGACTACAGTGCAGAGCCCTGTGCCGACAAATATTAATGGCGGCGGCGACTGACACTAAATATGTCGGCGGCGGCTTAAAATCGACTGTAAGCCGGCTAAGTTTTCAACTACGTTTAGTTTTTAAATTTTCAACGATTTTAAATAAAAACGGAATCCGAGAGATCAGAAAGTGGGATTTTGGAAGCAAATATATTGTTTATAACAACAAAACAGAGCAAGCTCAAAAGTTGTGTGAGAAATTATGCAGGGATGAATAAAAAATTCTTAAAAATTAAAAACAAATCCTTTCTCCAAGTTTTACGAGGATCTGCCGATATTTAACCCTATCCTCCATATAAAACATCTTGCAGAAAATCAGTTTCTAAAAAATTTTGCATTAAGAAAATGATCAATAACGTAAAAACAAAGATATTTTATTTGTTTATTTGCTACCCTAAAACCAATATAAATAAGAAACCCACTTAACGATTTTGATGATTTGATGGACTTTGATCATTAGATTAATAAGAACCGTGATTTTCGGATTAGGGACTTAAATGTGGAATTGGATCAACTATGGACAAAGTTCTCTATAATTTAAAGTATTTTTTTTAATTCTACCATAATTCTATCATAATGATAACTTTTGGAATGATGTATTAGCTATAAACTGATTTTCTGTAAGAGGGTTATATTGGCGGACCGATCCTCATAATTTTATTTTTCATAAATGTAGGTTTCGGTTCCTAAAAATGTTTTTTTTCGTCGACATCGACATTTGAAAGCCATTAATGTGCGTTTAAGTCATTTTCTGAAGAAGATTTCATATACATATTTACATTACATATTTTCGTTCCAACAAAAATTGTTTTATTATGGTATTATTAAGTACGTAGAAAACGTTAAAATCAATTATTGAAGGGGGCAGGGTCAATTATGGCCTATAGAGATTTCGATTGATATCGAGCCCTTTTTGCAAAATGGACGTAAGCGAGATAAATTTTAGACTAGACAATAGACTAGATAATAGAATAGACTTTATACTAGACTATAGACCAGAATATAGACTAGATTATAGACTATATCAATGATATACTAAACTGTAGAATGAACTGTAGACTAAATTATATACCAGATTTCAATTCATGATCGAATTTTATCGGAAAAATGCATTTGAACTAATTTTGCCAACCCTGTCTCTTCTATATTATCGTACAAAATCTAATATCTGGCAATATTTACATTCACGAATGTAATAACAAAAGAAAATTGATTAAAAAATAAAGATCTGTCAAATTTTTTTCTTTAAGTGAAAAATTTACACGTATCGATGTAGTTAAGTGGAAAAAACAAATAAATTTTGTGTAATTTTAAAACGAATAATTAAATTTGTATTATCTTATTAGCAACAAAGTGTAAAGCAGTAAAATGTTTGCAAATTTAAAAAACAAATTAATCGAAGAAGTTAAAGCTTCACCCTCAAAATTTCAACAATTTGCTACTGCAGCCCAGGTAAAGGAAAAAAAAAAAACAAGAAAAAAATATCCAACATAATAATGATTAAGATAAATAGAAAGAAGGAAAAAAAACATAATGTGATAATTCCCTAAAAAAGTCTTTAAGACTTTGGCTAGTGAAGTAATGTTGGTAAAATGGGAACAAAAGCTAAAAATATACATAATTTGCAAAGAAAAAAACGAATGAAAAATAATTGTAATACAAAAAAATAGGTTTATTGTTTTTTCTTGTTGTTGCTGCTTTTAGGCTGCCGTCTCTTCTTCTACAAGTACGCCCAGTGGTTCCGAATCTACTACCACCACAAATGCTACAAATGAGAATTTTTTCAGTATTACCGAAGAAGGTGAGCAAAACTAGGGTGTGGGTTTTTAATTTAATTATTAATATGATTTTCCTGTTTGTTTGTTTTTTAGATACACCACAGAATTCTCCCAATAAACCTTTAAAATTGCCAGCAGGTGCCCAACGTGGTCGCAATTCCATAACACCAAGTATTAATAATGGAACCGGTGCTATACCCAGAACTCGTAAATTATCAAATTCTTCTATGGCTAGTGATGTATCATTTCGTCTACCAACCTGGGATGCCGGTTCGGTAAGGCTTATCTTTGTTTTACTATATAGGATTTTTAAAATATGTGTTAAAAATTTTGCTTTAGGTTTATCACCTTCAATCCGATTTGGATGAATCGGGCAGTGAAATGGGCGATACTGCTTCAACGGTTGCCAAATTAGATGTCATCACTAAAGAACAACTATTTGATGCCTATCGCAAGTCATTGGATCGTTATCATAAATATCGATGTCGTTATACGGATTTGGCAAAAAAATATAAAGATTTGGAACGTGATAGCACTAAGGCAAGGGTGAGTTTTTATTATTAATATTAAAAGTAAAATCTTTATAAATATCAGGTCTATGATTTTCCTATGAAAATGAATTTTTAATGGAAAATAAAATTGGAATGAATTTTGAATGATCACAAAATTTCTCAGTTGGAGCAATATTTAAGAATCTATAGCCGATTTCAGATTTTCTCAATTGGAAAAAGGATCTACAGTCGATTACAGGGTCCGAGTTGAATACAAATTTGACATAATGATCATTTAAAAAAGTGGGCTTAAAAGGGGACAGACATTACATTCATAGTTTAAAATTAATTTTATTGATTACCATTTTCATTAAAGTCGTAAGTTATTGAGGTCACTGATAACAATTTTTAGATTTAATTGATAACAATCGTGTTTATTGTAATAAACAATTCTACCAAAAGAATAAAATATGAATTGTTAATATTAAAGTAAAAAATCAGATAACGTTAAACGTCTGGAGAGTTTATTAAAAAAATGTTTTAATAAATTTTGAAAATTAATGTGAAATTTTGCTTCCTTACTTTCCTAATTAAAGCCATAACATGTCCACCTTTGTTTCTTCCCTACAGTCCGTTTTGGTGGAAACCCAAGAAAAGGCCATACGTCGCATAAATGAATTACGTGAACAATGCTCCCTGGAACAGCAAGCAAAAGCTCATCTCGAAGAAGCATTACGCATTGAAATGGACGATATGCAGTGCAAAATGCAGGCCTATCAAACGAAACTCAAATTACTGGGCGAAAACCCCGATAATATAGCAACAGCATTGGCTGGCGGTAAAACTGAACAATTAATCGATTTAACTACGGAATCCACTAAAACCTCGGAAACTTCTTTAATCACACTCAATGACAATGACAACGTTAATAGTAACGATGAGGAGACAAAAATAAAAATGGAAAATTACGAAAAGCTTTTGCAGGAACGTGATCAACAAATTATTGAACTAAACAATAAATTGGATTTATTGCGTAAGCAAGAAGAGGAGAATGTTATACTCTTGGCTCAAACCAAGGCCGCTATACATTCAGAATTGGAAAATAAAGAAAGTGAGGTTAAAAAGTTAAGTGAAACTGTTAAACAATTGCAAGTGGAATTGCAACAAGTTAATAAGAAGGAAAAACAAACTGGGGTAGCTGTGGAAGAGTTGAATGAAATGAGGGAAAAATTGAAACAAACTCAAATGGCTAAACAAGAACTGGATGCCAAAATCATTGCCACCGACCATATGCTGCAGGAAATGCGCGAGAAACACAATGAAAAGGAGAAAACTGCACGAGCCCTTGAGGAACAGCTGACAAAACAAACTAAAGAAAGTGAAAACAAACTACAGGAACTCAAGCAGCAAAATCAACAACTTAACGAAATGGTAACACGTTACCAACAGAATGAAATTTCTCTTGCCGAGGTCGATAACGAATTAAATAGAACGAAAAATGAAAACGATATACTTAAAGCCAGATTAAACGAGAATGAAAACAAACTACAAGAAACCGAAGTACTATACAATGAACGCCTGCAGGCTTTAGAGCAACTGCAGGAGCAGTTAAAGGCCAAAGAGGATATAATTAAACAAACTTTGGATAAAACCGAAGAATTGCAACAACAATTGCAACAGGAGAGGACACAAATGGAGGAACAACAACAGAAATCTCTACAATTGGAAAACGAATTGAAAATTATTAAAGAACAAACTACTAACAGCGAATCTGAAACTATAACCAATTTAAAAACAGAACTTGAAAGGGTTACAAACGAATTAAATCAACAAATCAAAACCGTCAAAGAACAGCTGAGTAGCAAAGAAAAAGAATTGAAATCTCTAACGAAAAAGGCAACGAAAACTGAAAAACAACATGAAACCCATTTGACACAAATGCAACAGCAAAATGAAGATATCGAAAAACTCAAAAGTGAACTAATAGAACAGGAAAATCTTATAGAAGCCTTGAGAGAGGCCTCCCAACAAAGGGAACAGCAAACAAATGAAGAAAAGCAAGAATTAAAGACACAAATTAATGGTATACTCAATGAAATCTCTCAAATGGAAGAACAAATGCGTATAGTACAGGAATCGCATCAAGAATTGGAAACTGAAAAACGTAATTTGGAAATGAAAATTGAAAACATGCAGCTGGCAACACAAACTACACAAGAAGATGCCAAACGTTGGCAAGAGATACTCAATGAAACCGAGGAAAAGCTTAAGGCCTGTGAACTGAAATTGCAGACCGTGGAAAGTGAACACACACAAATGGCCGAAAAGAACTGTTTACTGGAAGAAAATACTCATAGACTAGAGAAACTGCTGGCTGAAAAGGAAAGACAACAGGCCGAAACAGAGGAGGCTTTGGTTAGCGAGCTGAGATTAAAACTACAAACTACCGAGACATCTTTGCAAAAACTTAATGAAAAAATGCAAGAGGTATTAGATGAAAACTCACGCTTACACAATAACCAAGAGCTAAATGATCATGATCAAAGAACTTTACAAGACAGATATGATGCTTTGGAAAAGGAAAAAGCCTGTTTGGAGGACGATAAACAATGTCTAGAGCAAGAATTAAAGGCAATGAAAAACAAACTAATAGAACTGCAGCAAAGAAATGAAGAAATACAAACTGAACTTGAGCAACAAAGGGAAACTCAACAGGAAATGCAAAAGGCAATAGAAGACAAAGAAAAGTGTTTAAGTGAAGAAAGGCAATTAAGAGAAACTTTGCAACAAGAACAACAAAAACTAAAAGAACAATTGGAACTATCTAATACCAACCAAAATAGTTTAACTGAAGTTAATGAAATGCTTAAAGAAAAACAACAAGCTTTACAGGAACTGCAAGATCAATTAAAGGAGGAAAAATTGAAACAACAACAGCAATTACAAGAAAATGAAGGAAAACTTGAGGAACTTAAGGAAAGTTATGAAATACAATTAAAAGAAAGTGCAGAGCAAATGAAATTACTAAAAGAGCAATTAACTCAAGAGAGTGAAGAGAAAAATCTACAGTTAGAAAAGCTTAAAGAGGAAGCTATATTATTGAGAGAACAAAAAGAATTGTTAGAACAAGAATTAAGGGAAAATAGTAAAAAACTAAATGATCTGCAAGAAAAACAACAGGAAACGGATACAGCACATAAGGAAATACAAGAATTGCAAAAACAAAATCTAGAATTACAAGAAAAATTAAAAGACTTAGAAAATGTAAAAGAAAATGCCGAAAAACAACTCAAAAACCAAGAAGAACAACAACAGCAAATGACACAACAACTAGAAGCTTGGCAACAACAACAAAAAGAATTCACAGAAGCAAAAGAACGAGAATTACAAGAGTTAAAACAGCTTAAGGAACAACTACTAAAAGAACAACAAGAAAAAGAAAAACTTTTGGAGCTGATTAAAAACTCCCAATTACAATTAGAAGACTTACAAAAAAAACACTCAAACAAAATGGAAGAAATGGAAAAACTGCAAGAGCAACTCTTAAAACAAAACTCCGAAACAAATGCCGTAGAACAGCTTAACATAGAAAATGAGTATTTGAATAAACATGTCAAACAATTGGAAGCCGAGCTAGCCAAACAGCAAGAAGAAGATAAACATAAAAATATGGATTCTCAAGAGTTGAAAGAAAAACTAAAATCCTTACAATGTGAACTCTATGTACTCCAAGAAAATGCCGAAAAACACAACAATGAAGTGGAGGAGCGAGAAAAACATTTGCAAGAACTTAAATCACAAAATAAACTCTTGACTTTGGAATTAGAAAAGGAAAAATCTGAATTACAGCGTCAACTGGAACACATCAAATATATCACTGAACAGGATGATACTGTACAAAAAGATTTACTTTTGACACAAAACAAATTAAAAGATTTAGAATCCAAACACTCTAGTCTGGCACAAGAGCACGAAGAACTTAAGCAACAAACTGCAGAACAAAATCAAGAGCATTTGAAACATATAGACAATCTGAAAAGGATCTGGAACGTAACACTTTAACTATAGATACTCTACAAACTGAAGTTAAAGATTTAAATAAAGAATTGGAACACAAAGAAAAACTGGCAGAAGAACTGCAAGCCTTAAAGGTGGAATTAGAAGAACGTAATAGTGTGAATACAACTCAAGCAAATAATCTAGAATCTGCCAGCAGCAGCAAATCATCTCCTTCCTCACAGGACTCCGAACATTTACGTAAAATCAATGAAACCCTACAGCGTGAGTTGGAAGAACTTAAGCATACATCGACTAGAGAAATCTCAACACTACAACAAGATATGGAAGATTTACAATCGACCAATAAACAAATGGCTGAACGTATCATGGATTTGGAACGTTTAAGAGCTGGTTTACAGGCTCAAAAACTATTCGGTTTAGCTGAAAGTAATCCACTGCAAAACAATAACAATCCCGTGACGAACAAGTCTTCGGCTGACGATGAGGAAAAACGTGAATTAGAAACTAAATTGAAAACCATAATGGCTGAGGTGCAAGATGTATCAAATCGTAATTTGTTTTTAGAGCAAAAATGTGAAAATTACCTAATATTGGAACAATCGAATGAACGTTTAAAATTACAGAACGCTAAACTGTCTAGGCAATTGGATGAAACGCTGGTAAGTAGTTATTGAACAGATATCTAAAGGGGCTCATATATGAGTATACACAATACCAGCATGCTGGCACAATCAAGTGATGTTGCAAGCTGATTGAACGTGCATGATCTTGTGGTGCAATTATGCAATTTGATTGTGTGTCCTAAAAATGAATTGGATATTTTTAAGATTGTGCCTGCAAGCTTATGGCATTTAAGGCAACCATACACAATACCAGCATTCTGGAGCCACCATTTAATTGTGTTTTAAAATTCTAATCAAATATGACTCCAACATGTTCGCACAGCTTGCACATCGGTCAATGGCATGATGCTAGCATGCTTGTGTTACTCTTACTTACTTACCATGACTTTTCTTGGAATATTATGAATTTTATAAATGTCTCTTTCCCAGGTATCCATGCAACACAATGAAGGCATTGCTGCTAATACAGAATTTGAGTACTTAAAGAATATCATGTTCCAGGTATACAAAATAATTTTATTTTTTTTTACACATGTAGCATCTTTTTCTTCCTTTTAGTATCTAACTGGTTCAGCAAATGGCAACAATGAAACCTTGGTTAAAGTTATTTCAGCAGTTTTGAAATTTTCACCCCAGCAAACTCAAGTGGCTCTGGAAAAAGAACATCAAAGAAGGTCGTTGGTAAGCTTGTTTTAATATTTACAATTATGTAGCCACTACATACTTAAAAAATGTTAAATAAGTTTTTCTTTTATTTTTTTTAAATTAAACTTTAAATATTGTTATATATGTATATTTTTTCTTTCTTACAGATAAACAAAATTCTATAGCACGAAAATGAAAAGAGTTACTACATTTGGTAGCCTTAGTTTTTAAATTATAATTTAAACCATTAATTAATTAATTTACTTATAATACTAATAAACATAAATATTATATAAATATATATTATATTATTAACGTTTAACAATTAATGATAATAAGCAATTAGTTATAAT